GGCCCGAGGGCCCAGGTTCCCCCTGCAATTAGACCGGCAGTGGCCGTCCCCCACCAGGACACTCGAGTCGGCCACCTGCAATGGTGTCAGTCTGTCCCAGATCGTCTCACCTGGACAACACCCCTCTCCCCTCCTCCCCACTCCTCCCTCCCTCTCTCCTTTTTAATGTTTCTTTCAGATGACGATGCTCAAAACCACAACCTCTATGTCTGATTCTGACCAGAAAATACAATTCTCAACGCCCAGCAATAGAACGAGGATAAAGTCAGACGATGCACGTGGCCCTGGGAAGGGGGCCAGAGGAACTCATTGAGTTTCTCAAGTGCAGCTGACGATGGCTGCCCTGGCCTGTGTCCCGGGAGGGAGGGCAGGGGAGGGTGCGAGGAGTGAGCTTCCAGTGCCCTTTACACTCCACGAATGCAGGCAGTCACCGCAGAAAAACAAGCAGCGGGCCAGCAACGCGGTGCCACGGTCACAGTCGACGTCTCCTCCTGGGCCAGTCCCACCTGCCCCATAACCAGAGGCGGGGTCCAGAGATGTCCCAGACACCCAGGGGCGGGGCTCTGCACAGGGGACCCTGCCGGTCTCAGGGGACGATCCTGAGCGAGTGCTGTCCTGCGGCCTCCCCGCCCCGCTCCTGCTCCTCCCTGCAGCCCCTGATCTACTGAACAATCCCCTGTTGAATCTGTGGGGGTGTTACTGCACTTTTTCAGTAAAAAACAAACAAACATGCAATTTGGTGTGACTTTTGCAAATAAGTCTGGAGGCTGCGTTCCAGTGAAGAGCTTGGTCTCACCCACACCCTACGGGTGAGAGGCCCGTCCCCCGTCCAGGCCGGCAGCAGGCTGGCCGCCAGCACCTCCCTCCGAGCAGCAGCCTCAGCATCTCCTCCGGCGCTGGCACACGTGGGCTCCACGGGGAGCCGCCTCCCCATCCTGCCTCTCTGGTGTTGGGTTTGGCTGCCTGAGCCCTCTCCTGAGGGACCTGCCTGCAGGCCTGGTGATTCAGATGCCCCTTGGGCCCGGCCCTTCCTCCTGGGCGGCCAGCCTGGCCGTAGCCAGTCCACCCGGGGTCCTTCCCACGCCTCTCAGCCCTGCCCCACCGACCCACCGACCGCAGCCGCGGACGTGACCACTGGCGGCTCCTGTCCCGTTGACTCATTGTGCCGTTGGCTAACATAGGCTGGGGAACAGACCGCCCTGTCCTGGGTGCTCAGGCCAGAACGCCGGCCCCTCATGGTGGAGCTGGCCTGCGGAGGGGCTACCCGGACACAAGAACAGACAGAGGCTGTCCAATCCGAGGGCAGGGATGGCACCCAGGACAGAGCCTGCCTTTCGGGGTCTGTGCCCGGGGGGTGTTGGGGGCGGGGGGTGAGGACCAGGCTGGCATCTGCCAGCTCCAAGGTCTGCAATCACATTGCCATGGAAACCACATGTGTAACCTGTGGGAAATATCGTTTTCCTTGATGAATCATGTTCTAAGTTGGGAGGAAAATTCACTCGATAGGTGAGGCATTAAAAGGAAATAAAAAAGATTCATTCAACAGATGCTGAGAGGGTTTGTCCCCCCAGGTCCCGACATTGCCCCAGCTGTGTTTGTCTTCCTTTTCTAGAAAATTCTGTCAGGTGGAGTCTGAGGTTTTGGAGCCCAAGGAGGACGACTCGCCTGTGTCCAAGCTGCCCTGGGCAGGGCAGAGAGGTGGGCTCAGCTCAGGGAGGGTCAGCCCGGGCCCGTGGTCTGGGTCTGTCTCCACAGCCGCTCATCTGCCCTGTGGCTACGGGGAAGATAACCTCCCTCAGCCTCCCCGTCTGACTGAACATGGGGTGGACATGGCCCAGGGGTCCAGCACACCCAGGTCCCTCCGACTGGGGCCCAGGAGCCAGCAGGAGGCTGCACCACCCTCTCGTGCCAGGAGGTTTCCTTGGAGCAAAAGTAAAAGGGTGGAGGGAGGGAGGAGGGAGGAGGACAAGGATTTTTTTCAAGGAGGAAGGCCCTGCCCTAGGCTGGGGTCTGCGTGTCACAGGGGGCGCTGTTGCTCCACGGAGGGAAGACGGAGCCGGGAGGGAGGGAGGGAGGGGGGGAGGGAGGGAGGGAAGGCAGGGGCGGGGAAGGAGGTGGGGGAAGGAGGGGCAGGGGCTCCAGGCTGGCCCAGCAGGCCCCCACCCCACCCCACCCCCAGGGAGCAGGCCTGGCAGCACCAGAGTCTCCTTTGTCACTTTCCTGGGGACACAGGAGGTTTCCATCAGGATGTCTTTCCTTCCTGCGCCCACCCACCCTGACAGCAGAGC